AGCATGGCCCGCAATGAATGGCAAATGATAAAAGGGAGGATGAACATTGGAAAGTGCCTGAGTGAAGGGATCCTGGGTGTCGAGGCTTGATGAGTTAGCTTGCGCAGAATCCCCATCTATTTCCCATATTTTATAGAACAGGGAATGTGTGGAGCTCATTTCTGGATGTCAGTCATAGGTCTCTGGGGGCCGGGGAGGAAATGGATAGATAGAGATAGAGGAACAGCACTGGGCTGGTCCCCAAGGCACAGCCCAGCAGGGTGCCTGCTCAGAGCCCAAGGCCTGGCACGTGAGTAACCGTTGTCTCTGAAGGCCAGTCTGCACAGACCTCAGGCCCCAGGACTGGTCCAGGACTTGTCAGTGGAGGTAACTTTGGGCTTGGGCTTCCAAAACACAAGGAAAGACCATCTGATATCTTAAACCCTCTCTGGATATAAATTTGATATACCTACAACCTCAGGGTTGCCAAAGATGAAGAAGGCCAACGACTAAGAGCCACAAGTCAAAACTTTGGCATGGAGCCTGGCACGCATGAATCCAATGTGTAGATCGGCTCACATGTATCTGTGGGGAGAGTCACCAAGAGAGACCTCGAGAAAGCACAACGCGAGAGCCTGATCTAGACACCTAAGCCCACTGCGGGAAGATGAGTTTCCCTCCGTGCCGTGGGGAGCTAAGCAGAACAGGGTGAGGGCAGCATGGCACGGCTCTCTTTTTACTCTCTGACTCGCTGTGGTACCACCTGGTTGGCAGACCTAGCACAGCGCTGTGAGGTGAGCTGCAAGTGGGGAGACGGCTTTCTGCAGCCACAGTGAGGTGTGGGTTCTGCCCAAACTGGTTCTCTGAGGCCAACTCTTTTTGTCTGTTCACCAGTCTCGAGAAAGCTGGCTTTCCCTCTGTTGATCCCTACAGTGGAGGATCTGGAGGCAGCACCTCAGCCCCATCAGAAACACACTGTCTCCTTGTTCTTGTGGATGCGGAGAAGCAGGCAGCCCGAGGATCGCAAACACATAGATCATCCCTGTTCAACCTGGAAATTAATTCTACGCTTTGTTTTGCAGAACTCTTGGAACCGGTTTTACTTCCTGTATAAGGCCACTCTTAATGGCGATTTGTGTTTTCCAAGTCTACAGCTGGGTAGAGAATGCCTGCCTAATTAATAATGAGCACTTGAAGAACTTCACAGGTGAGCATGCCAGGGAACCGGTTCAAAGTGGCATCCGGCAGCGTCCAGCCCCTGTAGTCGGAGTCCTCCTTTTAGGGTGACTGGAGCATACCACTTATTAAAAGTGCGACAGTAGTTCCTCATTTAAAGGGACAGAGCACCTCTAGCTTTCCTGTTGCTACTTGCTGTTGAGTTGCTTCTGATTCATGGCGACCCCAGGTGTTACACAGTAGAATTGCTCTGTAGGGTTTTCTTGGCTGTCATCTTCGAGGAAGCCCATCTCCAGGCCTAAACTTCACGGTCCTGTTGGGTGGATTAGAACCACCAACTTTTAGGGTCGCAGCTGAGTGCAGATGGTTTGTGCCACGCAGGGACCTACAACTGGCCTAGAAGTTCTTACGTCTTGTATTAAAAATTGCAGGGCCCAGCACCCAAATGATGACTTTATAAGAAATACTAGAGTGCTAAGAATGTTCATTCCTATAGACCAGAATATCTGTTCTTGGAATCTAACCTGAGTAGATAAAAATCAATTATTTGGTCCAATATTTGCACATAAGGATATTCAGTCTAGCC